CTCAGGGATTAAAATCACAGTGCTGCACTTCCTGGAATACATAAGCAGATAAATGCTAATGAGAAGAATAGAAGCAATTGAACTGAAGAGCAAAGAGTTCAATGTGTCCAACTGTGTCACTGGGAGAAGTGACGAATAATGGAGTCTAGTGAATGCTACACAGCACTGGCTCAGAAATGCTGCAGAATGAGAATGAGGTTGAAGTCAAAGAGTCTGTTAAGTGCAAAACAAGTTGACTTCCAGGAAAGAGTTAAACTAAATGTCCATACAGAAAGAAGTGTTTTCTCTTAAGGGAGAGTGCCACCTTAATGCCACCCTATATGTTTGGGCAAATATGTCTGTTGAACTCTATGGGGCCTGAGCACACACTTCTCCTGTGTCTTTATTTGAACCTGCCTTCAAGGGTTTACATCTACTGAATAGTGCATACTAGCCCTGTATTAATCTGTTCATATACACATCAGCACTAGCACTCCCTACACTTTCTCTATCACAGCTAATCACAGCACATTGTCAGTATGTCTGCTGGGAACTCACCTTTTTATAGTCAGTAGGCACATAATAAATCCCTATGATTGGCCATTCTAAGCCACTTGACCTAAGTTTCAAGGCCAAGAAGCACCTTTTTGGTAGCTGGTTGCTATGTTGGCAAATGGCCACATTAGTAAAATATAGCAATATTGAGCGCTCTCCAATAGCAGCTGATACACTCAGGTAACCACATAAAACCTTCAGTATAAAATGAATAATAATAAAGTGCAGCGCTAAATAAATAGTAAAAGTGAAGTCCCGATACAATTTAATACACAATTGGTGATGTGAATAGTGCCAGTAAGCGTATCCTTTTTTAAGATAGATAATGCGCATTCATAAATCAGAGTAGTGAGGTATGCGTCTGGGACATCCGTCTCCAATTGGGCAGCTCTGCAGTAAGTGGGTGATGTCTGCTCCAGAGGTCTCCTTAGGGATCAGCAGGGTCCTCCACCTGATTACAGGAATTCCCCCTCTCTGAATATTGAAGAACTTCCCAGGTTCTGCATACTTAAAGGCTCCATATAGGAGTCATAAGAAAAGTGCTCATAGCGTAATAATGCCAGGGAATTGAATTTATTAAAGCAGCAAGTTTCACAATGAAAGGTAATAAACAGGTACACTGCCCAGTAGAATAAGTAGCCGCCAGACCAGTTTATGGTTCCGGCGGTTCAAAATCACAGCGTGTTGACTCCTTAGGCCTTTGTGAGATTGCACGTCTTCAGAGGAATGTCAACACTCAGTTGCACATCATTTGAACCGCCGGAGCCATAAACTGGTCCGGCTGCTACTTATTCTACCGGTCAGTGTACCTTTTTTTATTATCTTTTATTGTGAAACTGCAGGTTATAGGTCCAAGAGTTAAGCATTGATAAAAAAGAACTATAAGGAACAAAAACTCTGAAAATTCCTCCCTATGAGGAAGGAACTAAAGTGGCAAAAACGGAATCTTCCTTTTTCACATAAATACTGACACGCTGTATGCAAATGTAAAACAATATAATGCATCTGCAATAACAAATAACTTCCCCAAAGTATTACTTAGCATCTGTTTAGATTTACTGCAGCGCATAATGAGGCATAGTATGGCAACACTTGCAAACCTGATTGTGAGCAATCTGTTATGTGTTAACACAATCTATTCTTAACACTGTAAAAAGACAATAAACAGAGAATATATGTAGATAATAATACAAACATGTCATTATAAATGACAGGATGCCATGGTGCAATTCCTAACGGACCCGCTAATCTTAGCCATAAAGAGAATCGAAACATTGAGATGGACCTAAGCCAATAAAAACAAACACACCAGGACAAGAAAACAAAAGTCAGCTTTCAAATGAAATTTTCACTGTCCATAGTTTTCAAATGAAGCAAAAATTCTGATTGGCTGTTATGGTGCAAGAGCTAATTTTAAATGCATCAGCCCACAAATTAAAGTATCTGAAAACCAAATGTTCTGTTTTGGCCATAGCAGCCTTTCTCAACCAGGGTTCCCAGGCACCCTGGGGTGCCTTGAGGTTTCTTCCGGGGTGCCTTGTCAAAATGTCTAAAAATTGCCCAAAACTTGTATACAAGTCAACGGGTGGAACAAGCCTGCCTTTAAGTTACACAAAGCCACAGGATTTCATTGTACACCATTACGACCTTCTAGTCACCGGCTTCCTGATGTCATCAGTTGATAAGGGCTAAGGAGGATGTAAGCTGCCTGCACAGCATCCTAGTTTGCCCCTCCCCTGCCCCCTCTCCATCAGTGCTGAGGTCACATTAGTGTGATGGATAAAAACTGGGGCAGAAGAGAAACACTGGAATACTAGTCAGTACCAGTGTGCAAAAGTATAATTGCTTTGGAAGAATAAATCACCTCTAATGTCGGGTGTGTTACATGTGTGGATGTTGCTGCATTATATAAAACTATTAGAATAGTTTTTCACATTTTAGAATGGGGGCCTCAAAACTGTCCATAATTTTAAAAGGTGCCTTGACTGAACAAAAGTTGAGAAACACTGGCCCATAGAATCCAGTTTCCAACATTTTTTCCTCTTCAAACTACTGTAAGAAATTCATTTTAAAAATATATTTGGTTCAACTGTCAACACAGGCAGTTATTCCTGCAGAAATATTTGCATGTGGCTAATCACACTCTGTACTTACAGTAATTAAGGGAAAGTCATCTAACTGAATAAAGTATCATAAGCTAATTGTAAAAACCTCTGTATCTGCTAATACTATTTTGATTGCTTTTCTATTTACATAGAAAAAGCATCAAGTATTGCCATAGTGATACCTTATAGCAGCCTTCACTAAACGGTGGCCCGTGGTCTGGATCTGGACCTACTGACAGCCCAGTCTGGACCATCAGCCCACCATTCTGCTGTGCTGAATCCTCACTAAGCTGCAGGCATTGGTTGTTAGGAACCAATGACAACACGTGTCCCCTCCAGCACTCTTCTCCTCCCAGCTCCCACCCCAACCTGGCTCTAATGGACTCTACTGATCTATTGAAATACTCTGATGGGGGAATCTGATATATGGAGACACCTGATCTAAGGGGGCAGTCTGACTGAGACACCTGATATAAGGGCACACTGATGGGCCCCCTCATTCTCCCCCCTTCCTCTCTGTTCATACACATTGACATATGGCCTGTGTGTAAGGAGTGTCACAGGCCGGCCAGGGCACATCAGGGAGCCCCAGAGCTATAAAACATTTTTGAGCTGAAGCGCCTGGTTGTCTAAGAGAGCTGTGCAATCTAGCACCTTGTAAAGATAACGCAAGCCTTCCCAGGAGTTCAAAGACATTCCAGAGAAGCACGAACCAGATAACACTTTTAAAATCCATTTTTCCCCTATGTCTCATATCTTGGAATATGAGAGACTTACATAAGAACCAGGCATATCTTCAGATTGGCCACGAGGAGACCAACAGTTTGGTATGTCATTCTCCTTGGCTGGGATACATAAGAAAGCAGAAAAGTAGATCTCTTGAACCATTCAGTGTATAATGTCATATTTCATATTTAATCATTCCTCAGATGCGTCTGCATAATAATCTACCCGCGGGTGGAATGTCACTTCTGCATAGGGAAAGTTATAAGCCAAAATATGAACTAGAAGAGATTTTGGCTCTAGTTTATGCCTACGCCCAGACCTTCCCTCCCTAAATGAGGCATTGGTCCTTGACTTCAGAGACACCCCCTGCTAGGGAACTACAAAATGGGCTGTCAGGCCTAAGAGAAGGAAGTTGAAGAATTCTCCCTTTTACCATCAGAACCAACCTGGGAGACATGCCCTTTTGCTTTGAAACTTGATCTGCAAACCCAAGGCTGATTGGCAAGTACTTTAACCCTTTAACCTCCTTTCTATTACCTCTTTGCTGTGCTGTTGTTCTCTGTATATTTATATATATATTGGTTACATCTTTTTCTGTAAATATTTTTATTGTACCCTTTTGACCTTGTAGTAATAAATCTTTCCTTCTGAAAGTGTTGGACTGTTTCTATAGCTCTTTATTGCAATTTACGAATTCCTGCCTCTAAAAAGAGTGCTACTGTGTTTGTTTAACCCTCTGTATAACCGGTCTGCGGTGACAGTGTTATACAGACGATTATCTCAACCGTTATAGTGTTATAGCTGATATCGCCGAGTTTCCGCTTTCTCTGTACAAAAAGAGGTGGTAGCAGTGTGAACGGTTAATTGCGTAATTAACCTGACCCAGTAACAATCGCTCCCAGGCTGCCGGTACATCGATTGTGGTCCAATTAGCTGGAAAATCGTTGTATAGGGTGCAGCTGGGTGTGGCATTGTTACGCACGTAACATCGCAGTTTCAGATTGGCTAGTCCTTCGGTCACGAGTTTGGTGAGATGGTCAGGGGTCTGACGCCGCGTTCGTCACAGCTATGACTTACCTGTTTTAGCTGAAGAAGTTCCCACATCATTTAAGTGTGCTCTCTGTAATCTATTGAATTAAGCATAAATTTGCCAAAAGCTCACAGATGGAAATAGACATAAAGTATTGTAACCCCTTCCCAAACTAAAAATCCAATATAATTTGTCTGAAATTCTACTTTAGTTGAAAACTTAAATAGAATTCCACCACTACTTCTGGCCTATTAATAATAGATCATGTCTTACAATGCTTAGATAATGACCCCTGTCTTTCTGAAAGCTAGTATGTTAAAGTGTAACTAAACCCCGGACCCTGAGGAAGAGGCAAGTCCTCGAAATGCGTCAACCTATTGGATGTCTACACACCCTATTACTCAGTGTGGTGTTGACCAAGCTGTTCTTTTATGATGTACCTTGACTTTATTGTCATTTGTGAGTACAACACCTACTTTATTTCTTATTAAACATTTTTTATGGTAATGCACTAGGCCTGTGCGCCCTCTGTTTGTTCTTTCCTCATCTTGCATTCACTATATCTGGTCTCCCACAGTACACAGAACATGGAAAGTGTAATTATTTTAGTAAATATAAACTGCTAAATACCTTTTCTCATCAGAAGCATATAGCAGTCTTGTGACTTCTATCAGTGACCAGCCGAGCACTGGTTAAAGCTTGTAGGAGGAGTTTTCATTTTGTTCTAGCAGGATGAAGAACCCCTGACCTCTGGAGAGTGATAATTGGCCCTGTGCTGATCACATGCACTCTCACAAGAAAAAAACATTTCTCTAGCAATACACACCAAACTGAACATGTGCAGAGTGACTCCACACTATATGTCTTATCAGGAGATAAGAGGGAGATACTGGAGGAAGGGGAGGATCAGAGAAGTCAGGATCAAACTGCGTTTTTACACAATGCAGAGGATTAACCCCTTAGTTTCCACAGTGAGTATAACAAGTATGCTTTACTGATACAGACTGATTTTACTGTGGTGGGTTTAGTAACACTTCAAGATTATTAAAGCAGAGTTCCAGCTGAAAAAAAAAAAGTCAGCAGCTACAAAAACTGTAGCTTCTGACTTTTAAAACACAGACACTTACCTGTCCCTCGGTCCAACGGTGCCCTCACCACCTGTCTTCTCTCCCTGGCGCTGGCATCTTCATTGTGGGCAGCTTGCGCATGTGCGAGAAGAGGTGCGCTTTGTGAATGGCCCTGTAGTCTTTTGGGATCTGCCATGTGTTTCAGAAGACTATGAGAAGAGAGGGGGGAGGACAACTTCCGCTTCCGATTGCCTGGGAGAAAGGGACCTGTCAAATTCGGGTATCCGCTCCCAAAGGTGCCAAACCTTAATGGGGAGCGAGGGGCAAAGGCTTAAAGCCGAACTTTCCCTTTTGGGTGTAGCTCCGCTTTAAGGTGTTACCTTGATTCTAGGGTTGCATAGCACAATAAATTTTAGCTTCTAAACTTCTGTAACTTTTTATTTTAAAGAGATCAAAATGAATATAGCTAGTAACAAAAATACTCAGACTGTTGTTATAACAACCAGACAACTAACATTTTTAGAAGGAAAGCTCTTATGGCAGGTTTCTGTTAAGGAATTGCATTTGAATTCTTAAATTGCATTTTTAAGCAATCAGGAAATTATGCTTGATATTGAAGAGACTTAACTACAATAAGATATTTCAGCTGCAATATTCTGTGTTCTTTTTGCAGATTTTAAATCAAGATAACCTATCCAAGAAGAGGATGAAGATCACTTCAGAGAAAAATCTGGATTACATAAAGTAAGCTTTCCTAGAGAGAGTTTTTAAATGACACTTTGCACATGGTAGTTGCAAACATCTTTTTTTTCAGATAAGGCACCTTGGTGAGTATGACAGCCTACGTACAGGAGTGCTCACAACAGGAACATCATGACCAATGACCAATAATCATGACCAATAAACAGAGATACGGCTAATGAATAGGTATGCTTTTGGAAAAAATGGGAAGCTAATGTCATAAGTACTGTATGTTGATATCTCTCCAAATTTTTGAGCTCAAGTGCACAAAGCCAGGTTCATAAAGACATGGTTTGATGACTTTGGCATTAAGTGAATTGAGTGGCCTGTACATAGCTCTGATCTCAACATTACTGAACACTTTTGATATGGATTAGAATCCAGAATGTGGGCCAGGTCTTCTCTTCCAACATACAGTATGTATGTGATCTTATAAAGGCCGAATGAGTACAAATTCCCAGTCACACTGCAAAATCTTAAGAACAGCCTTCCAAGAAGAGTTGAGGCTAATATAATCAAGGGAAAAACTACTCCATGGTTTTGGAAGGGGATGTTCAGCACAAACAGGCGTAATGGCCAGATGTCCACAAATTTTCAGAAATAGTGTATTATCAAGACACAAACTGCCCCCAACTTACCCACACTTTTCAAAAACCTCACAGATCCCCGCATCAACACAAGCAAAGTGGATGCAGGGATCTCCCCCACTGAGCTATTGTACTCTGACAGCAGGGACTTCCCATCCATCAGAATACGCAGATCATCCCAGGCTGTGCCTAGTCACTCTGGGAGAGAGAAAGGTTTGGCAGTGTTAGAGCTATACCAACATTGGTGTGACTATAGCCATCCACATTGGCAGCATCCAAGTGAATTCTGAAAGTGATACATGCAGTTATCTAAATCTTATTTTTAGTATTTACATGTCAAATGAGTGCAGTTTATCTTAGTTTTAGCAATACATTATTACATGTGCTCAAAGGAGAGTATTGTGGAGTGTCTACTATCACGCATCTCTTGCACTGTATTAAAGTTTTTTTATGGATTTGAACATGTTATTGGACTGCAGTATAGATTTATGCATGGACATTTATGATAATATTTGTTGATGATATTTCACGAAATGGCACAGTGCCACCTTCAGGCACTGTAGTCCTACACAAGTAGATTGTCAATTGTGCTCTCTGCAAAAAGATATATTCTGAGTATGTCAGACATCAATACATCTGCATTACTGTGTAACAGGAATGCATATTTTAAAGTCCATCCACCATTGTCAGTCACTGCTACTTGTGTCGCTTTGTTCTAGAATCCTCCTCCCCCTCCCCTCCCAAAAAAAAAATTAATGCATCTGCTCTAGGTTCTGGAATACTCCTTTCATAAAATGTTCAGTTTCCACCAAGAAAATGTTACCTAAACAGATGTTGCACCCTCCAAGCAGGTTGCTAGTAGAATTAATTATTTGGGGTTTTTTTGGCTGTTCTGAGGCTTGCTGGTTGAAGGCTCAATTACTTTCCTTTGTATTGTAGTACGTTCTGGAATATAGTGGGTTGCAAGAGACAGACCCTGGGCAGAATATTCATACATCCTCAGTCAATCCCTATTCAAGGGAGCAACCAGCAGGGGGCTGAAATGTGTATAAATAGTCTGGGCCTGGAACAGCAGGTTCCTTGTCTTGGTGGAAGAGACCCAGCCTAAAGGGCTGCTGCCCTTCTGGACAGATTAGCTGAAGACTGCAGGAGTTTCAAAGAGGTCCCAGCTCAGGGAGAGCTGGGGGGACACTTTTAAAGCTGATGAGAACAGTCTGGAGAAAGTTTGCTGAGCATGGCTTGGAGGCTCATGGTACAGGGTCTGGCTGGTACTGGAAGGAAGTATCCATGTACACAGGGACACAGTGAGTAGAGACCTGAGAGGGAGAGATCCTGAAGAGACTGTTGCTGTTTAAACCTTTGAAAAAATGCTTCTGAGTTGATGGTTTAGGGCTTCTTCCACGGAGTCCCCTGAGCTGTATGTCCACAATCTCTTGCACAAGAAGTCTATTCTGAAGAGTTTAGCTGCTATCAGAAACTGTCCTCTATGTCAGCTGCACTATATTTTAAGTATTCCAAGGCTCACCCTGCAACCCAACCAAGTTTTATCGGCATTAAGCTGCAAAAAGACATTGATAGTTATTGTGTTGAGAGCCTGGGAAACTGCTGTGTGTCTAGCTCAGCAATGGGCAAACTACGGCCCGGCGGACCTTTTAATCCGGCCCGCGGAGCTAGGCTCCCGCTAGGCTCCTCTCACAGTCCGCCCTGAAGACCGGTGTAGCATGAAAATCTGTCTCCTATGAGGATCTATCCCCCTCGACGTATCTGCGCATGTGCCGAAGATCGCCGATCGGCTGCTAATGCCTGAAACTGGCACATGCGCAGATACGTCGAGGGGGACAGATCCTCATAGGAGACAGATTTTCATGCTACACCGGAACGGCACGGGAACACGGCGAGAGGAACGCGCGGAGCAAAGGTAAGTGAATTGACACAGGGGGGACTTGGGGACTTAATATGGGGATGAATTAATATGGGGAATGAATTACTATAGGGTGGATGAATTACTATATGGGGGATGAATTACTATGGGGGATGAATTACTATATGGGGATGATGAATTACTATATGGGGGATGAATTACTATGGGGGATGAATTACTATATGGGGGATGAATTACTATGGGGGATGAATTACTATATGGGGGATGAATTACTATGGGGATGAATTACCGTATTTTTCGGACTATAAGGCGCACCGGATTATAAGACGCAGTATTAGTGAACGGATCTATTTTCATATATAAGACGCACCGGATTATAAGGCGCATAAAGCGAAACAAAATAGTCGGATAAGTAATGATTTTTTTTCAAATCATTAACAATACCTGTCAATATTACACAATAGATCCAGTCAGACCACAATATTACACAATATTAAAGCGAAACAAAATAGCCGGATAGGTCAGATATTACACAAAAGAGTATGCTCACTTTTTCAATCATTCCTATTCTACGAATCCATCAAATTCCTCGTCTTCGGTGTCGGAATTTAACAGTTGGGCGATAGCTGCATCAAGCAAGCCCGGATCCCTCTCGTCATCATCCGATTCAGTCTCATTGCTGTTGCTTGGCTGTTCATTGATGATTCCGGCCTTCGTGAAAGCTCGGACGACAGTTGAAACCGATACCTTAGCCCAGGCATCGACGATCCATTGGCAGATAGTGGCATAACTAGCCCGGCGTTGCCTGCCTGTGTTGGTAAATGTGTGCTCACCTTCTGTCATCCATTGCTCCCATGCGGCTCGCAATTTAGCCTTGAACGCCCTGTTGACACCAATATCTAGTGGTTGGAGTTCTTTGGTCAATCCTCCAGGAATGATGGCAAGCTCCGAATTGGTTTTCTTCACTTGGCTTTTGACAGTGTCAGTGAGATGAGCGCACATAGAGTCGTAGATCAATAAGGCCGGAGACTTGTGGAAGAAGCCATCTGGTCTCCTGACGTAAACTTCTCTCAGCCACTCACTCATTTTCTCCTCGTCCATCCAGCCTTTTGGATTGACCTTGACGATGATCCCAAGAGGAAACGTTTCCTTTGGCAAAGTCTTCCTCTTAAAAATGACCATGGGTGGTAGTTTCTGGCCATTAGCCTGGCAACCGAGAACTACAGTGAAGGATGATTTCTCATTCCCTGTGGTGCGTATAGATACAGTAGACGTCCCTGTTTTTTCTACAGTACGGTTCGCGGGGATGTCAAAGGTGAGAGGGATCTCGTCCATGTTTGTGATGTGGTCTGACTGGATCTTCTTTTCGATGATCTTGTCCTTGCAGTAAGTGCGGAAGATGGCCATCCTTTCTTCATAATCCTTTGGCAGTTGCTGCGAAGTGGTAGTTCTTGTGCGGATGGAGAGATGACGCCTTTTCATAAAACGGAAGCACCAAGAAGGACCTCCTTGAAATTCGTTGATCTTCATATCTCGTGCCATCGCTGTTGCCTTAAGTCGAATGGAGACTGTAGAGACGCTTCTACCTGCTGTTCTATGTTCAATAATCCACTGCTCAATTTTGTCCTCTAATTGTGGCCATCTTGCCT